AAAGAATGAAAAGTCTGCAATTATCTAGAAGTATGTGTTTGTAGATTGTCATTACTAAACATTTCTAAAGGTGTGTTTGTTGTTATTTTGAAGATATGGGTAGTGTTCCTATTTAAGCAAGAACTTTCACTGATGATGGGATTTTGGTAAAAAATGATACAGCTAGTTCTACATATCTATCCCCCTGCAGTTTAAAAATAAGTTTAGTAATTGCAGAAGAACTACATATACGTTTGACATTTGCCTGGAAGTTGTCACAATAAATGAAAGGAGAGAAAACACGTGTATCTATGACATCACTTCCAATATAAAATAATTTGAAACATTTACTAAACATTGTATAAGGTCACACTTTTAGGTGATGGTCTTTATCGGGAATTGTCATGGAAAGTAATTCAATCTTAAGATGTCAATCAAGCCTTGCGTTCTATTAAATATCCGACCTTTACCAATGTATTACAGCATTTTCTCCGTCAATAATCTACCATTTCCCCCTTTGCCTCAGAAAATAACTCATATCCCAGGTCTGATACAAAGGAAAAGAAAAATGGAAAGTAATATTTAAAAGGAACCCTTTGGGAAGCTGAGCAAAAAGTGTTATATTAAAATCGATACATGGGGCCTAACCTTTTGTGTTTTGGTACACACAAAGGCTTTTTTCTTATTGATCTCGGTTTTAATAACATGTTTATTCTAGTTTCTTTGGCTCAGCCTTGAGAGAATAAACAGGATTAAATTCTTTATTATCGCAAAGACTTAGGTTTGGTGGTGATATTCCCAAATGCAATTCATGTATTTATTGTTTGTTGACTGCATGGAGCAGAGATGCAGACAGTGAATAATTATAAAAATTAGCTGGATTTTCTTTTTATAATTTGGACAACTTTGCATACTAAGTTTGCGTAAGATTAAAGTTTGATGGTTTTATTGCCATTTTAACCTATAACCCCTTTTTTTTTTCATTCAAAAACGTATTTTGCTGGTGAACCAACATGGATTGCAAGGGGTTTGCATACCTTCGCGAAATCATTACATGCAAATGTAGAGATGGACCATTTTATTGCATTAGTAGAATTCTGTCAAAGTGAATGATAAAAGGCTTCTGCCTTTGCTACAATCACATGAGCAGTTCTAGTCTTGTAATGAGCAAAACAATACCACTGTCATCCTTTAGTTGCCAACATTATTGTTTAAACTCTCAGTAAAGATAACCAAAGGCTATGTCCAGGGAAACCATAATCCATGCAACCTGTAATTTTTCTCCTAGCTATGTACAGACTTCTTGGAGAGGTTGCATTTATACTGTATCTAAAGCCAAGAACATAAACTGAACATGTTGCAGCTTACCAAACTTCACATGTGGTGACTGTATTCACTGTCTTTTTTTCAGGTGAGAAAAAAAAAAACACATGAAAATCTTCCAGTGTTTGGCCAACATAAGTCAAATACTGCATTCAGTGCTGTTTCTTGGTGACATATTTTCTTTAATGTGTTCTCTAATATTGCAAATGTCATTCCTTACATTCAGTATAAAAGTAGAAACTTTACTATTTTTTTTTTTTTTTAAACAGTCCAACTAGACCTGGTCACCTAAGGACCTGTTCACACCAGTGTTGTGTTAATGCACGCTTGCTGTACATGTGTTTTTATGTGATTTACCTTCAGAAACCGATTCATTTTAAATGCGCCTCAACACACCAAAGATGCTGCGGCCACACTTAATGCAATGTCTGCATGCACAGACTGTTGACATCTGTGTACTCTGGTGTGTTGCAATTCGTGTGCGCTGCAGCATTGAGGTGATGTTCAAAATGAGTAGCAACACCACACGATGCATTCCACACATTGCTGTGTATATTGTATGAACAATGCAGGTTTTGCAGTGAGTTAACACATCAGTGTGAATGGGCCCTTATGTGTTTAACCAGGTAGAACTTCAGACACAAATGTTTTTGAGTAGAGCGAGGAAGGATTTGTTCTCTTTGTGTAGGGGAGAATTCCCATCACTTCCTGTATCAAAGTCAATCTTCCTGTAGCGAGAAAAAAAAAGCTACCTGACATTTTCCACTGTGATCCTAAAGAGGGCTTTCCCCTGTCTTCTGGTCTGATGACCGCTATTAACAATGGGAATTCTTTTTGTGTTCTACCCCCTTTGACAATTGTCTCTGAGACCAGAAGCTTGACACAAAGGGGAATAAAACCACGCTTTAAAAAAAGAATAGTTTTGGCTAGAGTTCTTATAATAGAGTTGCCAAGTAAAGAGAAGCAATAGTATTTTTATATTCTATTTTAGTATGATATTGGTATATTATAGGATTTGGACTGTAAGCTCCTTTCATTTTAGAACAGGCAAACAGTTTCGTAAACTGAAAAGTTTAGTACATCACTGTAAGATATATTTTATTATATACATGAAAAATAATAACCCAGCACTTCCGGAAAGTGGAGACTAACGATTAATGCTTCTCTGCTAATCGTTGCACAGTCTTCATAGAAATGACTTGCATCATAGAGAATCTGTTATTTTCTGTCTGCATAAAAAGAAAACTGTGAACTGCCCTGCTAAAGTCCGTAAAATTGTGCTGCAAAATGCATGAGTAATCAATGTTTAATCATCAGACTCCAAAATTACAGCGGCAGTTATGTGCACGCGGTCAGCTTGATGTCTACTTGTGAATTTCCTGACTTCCTGTAGTGTAGAAGAGGAAGACCAAACTTTTAATTACAATATTGACATCCTTTGTGATTGTGCAAGTAATTGAATCCACTGGGGACATTCTTTATTACAAGGTTTATTTTTTTCTGAATTGAGTGATTTACTTTCACTGCAATTATAGCCATTTTCATATAGTTACATCTAGCCCTGAGTTGAATGAGCAGGGACTGATCGCGTTGGTAAATGGCAGAGACTATAATGAAGCCAAGCTGATTGAGAGCTAAATTATTCATGTTGTTAGTTGAAGGGGGACAACGTCAAACCGACAGATTCAGTTTATTCTCTAGGCCAGTACAGCATAATTGTAAGCTATAGTTGCTAACCTTCTGTGTATTGATGCCCAATACATGTGTCTATCTTTTCCGAGCAGTTTACTGCTTTACCTTTTGATATGTGATTGGTGGGTTTATATTGATATATGGTAGGTTATTATAATCAATTTGTAATGTCATCTTTCTCCACCCTTCTCTATTGTATGCTCTATCTTGCTCTTTAAACACAATTGGCTAGAATTGTGTTACTTCGATTACATTTGGTATTGAGGTTTATTCTTTACTTGGCAAGAAAAGTTTAGGTAAAGTAAAAGTAATATAAGGGTTACTATTGCTCACCTCCCTCTGCAGATGCTCGTTGCTTGCCTTTATAATGACACTCTGTACTTTTTTAGAGCCACATTAGATCAGGCATGTCAAAGTAAACTAAAAAGTTAATACTTATTCCGGATTACTAAATGTTGAAGCAAGAGGATTGACTTGACAGCGAGGCAACTGGCGTTTCTAGAATGGGAAGTTAGCAATGGCAGCAACTTTTGTTTCTCTCAGGAAAGATTTCCTTTTAACAAAGCATTAGTAAAAAGAATCTTTCTTCAGTATTTTTTTCTTTTATATACTAGACTTAATTTTGTACTAGACATATACTGTATGCAACAATTTGTTTATGGTTTTATTCATATACACAAAGAGCAATTTGCAAAACACAGCAACCAACCAGGATCAGTCTATAAGGGATCAGACGTCAAATAAAGTGGAATTATATTTGTTGGTTAACCTGACCCTGTCGCTACTTTCCCAAAATTAAATAAATGCCACCCTGTAATAAACACATGTTTTATACTCACTTTTCTAGTGGGGGATGGGGTAAATGGGGGTTTATACTGATTTAATGAAATATTTGCCCTCTTAGAAAAGCTCCGCTTCCAGGTGTATCAAATAATGTGTCTTCCACTGGGAGCTATAATTCCTCCTGCTGGCTGCTAAGTTACTACAGTGTTTGATATTTTTTTTCTTTTGTTCTAACAGCAGCTTTTGCAGTAGTTAAAAAAAAAAATCCACACAAACATAGGTTGAATTTATTATGCCATTGTCTCTTTTTTTCTAACCAAATCCACTATGTAACACACAAATTTTAGCCATTTTTTTTTTAGACTGGTTGGTTACGTTGAATTAACACACACATTGCTGTAAGCCTCCTCAAAAGCTTTTCCCTTGCATGTTTCTAGAACACATTAAAAAAAGCTTTGATTGGGCTAGTAGGAGTAGTGATGTGTAGGGGCTAGGTGACAACCCAGTTCCCCCAAGGCCATATGGCCTGACCCCTCCCCAGTCCAACCAGTTGTGGTAGTGTGCAGTTTTGGGGTGGTCACAGTTTTTTGCTGTCTTGGGGAATCTCAAGCGAACTGGGTAAGCCCCCCACATATTGGAGCAACAGGTTTTTTGCGACACTCAAGTGATGAGGTATAACATAGCAGATCAGGCTCATTGTAGCAAGCCTTTGAATGTTTAGTAAAGTTTGATTGCTAAATTTACCATTTTGGTTTTGCTCTTGTTTTGATGACCCATGATGTGAGCCTGTGATCAGGAATCTGGTTTTCTGGTCCGTAATACACTGCACACGAAGCAGCGTGGAACTGCAGCACACGGACCTTCGCATGCAGTGTGTCTTGTAATTTTCACTCCGGTATGTCAGCTTGCGAGAGCTTGCATAGCTGAGCATGTCGAGATGAAAAATGTAATCTTCAGCCAATCGGCTGTCACTGTCACTTTTTAGTCTAAGGATAACAAGATGATAGACTTCATACAGATATGCCGATTTATTACTAAATGTACAACTGTAGTGCACGAAAAAAGCTAGCGTATTTGGTTAAAGACTATAGCTGTTCTTTACTGTGCACGGGTTCAGAGAAGCCAGTTATAGTTTCTAAAGTTGCAGGCATGGCGGCAAGCTATGAAGTAAAGGGAGGAGATGACTGTAATGGTATATTTATTGTATTTCTTTCTTTTTTTAGATTTGAACATGGGAAAGTGGTACAAGAGGAAATGGGGAAAGCCCTTGAACGGGAAAGAGCTTCTTCAACTGAACAACTGACCAGGGCAGTCCTGCGTGAGAAAGCTACTACTGAGGGAGAAAGACTAAAAGCTAAGACCTTTGTAAGTTTTTAACTTTTTTTTTAATTTTTTGTTTGTTACTTTTCTTATTTTAAATCATTATCACAATTAAGACAACTTTTTGATCCTAAGAACAGTCCTTACCGTATCCAAAATCCTCTTTCAATCCTCCTTCAGAGCTTAATTGGTGTCTGCCACATCTATAACTTGATGGACCTGTCTCTTTTTTCAAACTCACATACTATGTAACATGCCTGCTTTTTTCTAGACCCCAGGAGACCCTAACCCTAGAATCATGTTTTGCAGTGTTGGTTTGTGTGACCGCTCATTACATTGCTGTACTATGTGGTTACCTTGACAGGTGCTAGAATTTTCAGCTATATTACCAGCTAAGGCCCTTTATTTTAAAGGACACTTGTCGTAAAAGAAATATGTAGGCCATCATTACTTCTTTCTGCAGTTTTTATCCCAGAGCTCAAAATATTTCTAAACGTGACTATAAACTAAACTTTGTCCATTTAATCTTGATTTATAGCAAATAATTACACAAATATCAGATGGTAATGTATTCTGTGCATAAAATTCAGCATTAAGCACTACAATTTAACACTCGTTAATTTGCTATATACAGCTATATGTAAATGCATTTTTAGTTTTGAATGCCATGAATTGCACATGGGTAATAGAAAGTAGTTATGCATCTGAGGAAAAACTCAGAAAAAGTACTTAAAACTAAAATTTTGGACTTCCGGTTCCGGCGCCTGATGCCATAGACGAACGGCTCGAAGCTCCGTCCCACCACATGTACTCGCTCGCTTACCGGAACATCTCCCGCAGTCAGCCGTCCGCCCGAAGCCTTCCGCCCGCTCCCCCGTCATGGAGAGGTACCTGGTGTGCCCGTCGAAAGCCTGCTGAGCTCTCACAGAGAGCACGCCAGAAGGAGAGGAGGAATCCAATATGGCCGCCGACGACATGCAGCATGAGGCCACCTCATTCATGTCAGAGGGTGAGTCAGCTCCTGCATTGCCTCCTAACACAACAATTGATTACTCTTTGATTGCCTCTGAAGTCACTAAACAAAGTCTGATATAGCCACTAGCAGACACTCTGCAGCTGCACTTGGGGAAACTCAATGCTAACATGGAAGACCAAAATAAACATACAAAACTAAAATATTTTCAGAGTGAGAACAATTACCATATTTTTCGCTCCATAAGACGCACTCCCCCCCCCCCCCCC